TTGAATTAGAGTTATAATTTTAAATGTAATAATGTAGACTAACGACATACATTGGTTAAATTAAAATAAATTGGCTATTAATTTTGTTGTATAGCACTACGATATTAATATGAAGTTAATAGAAGTTTTGAGACAATTTAAAATGCTTTTTTCAGAAACGCGTCTAACACTTGACGGCCGGGGTTGCGGTGCGCGGCTGCTCTTCTGAATAAATGAAAACTATGTAACACAGTTGTTTACACTGAAATTAAAAATATTTGAACAAAGGAAAACAGGAGCAGGACTACAGCGAGAGATAAATATGATTTAGATTTTTATTTCTGTGACAGGAGACACGGCATTAACAGCAGTCGTCATTTCATTCCTCTGCTTTAAAGCAGATCCTTTAATTCCACAGCTGACGCTGCTAAAAATTACTTTTTTTTTTGTGGAACTCCGAGAGCAGAACTTCAATCTCTGAACTCGTAAAGTTCTTTTTTACTTTGCGATGTCATTTATGAATGGACATTTCCTGGTATGTCTGGCAGGAAACGTATATCCTTATWTGGTGTTTTTGGGGTGGTAATTGTGCAAATCACCTCTCCCCGTGCACAAGCACCTGGATTTGCATTCATCAGTTTACACTGCTCATTTACACACTTTTCCTGAAGATAGAAGAGTTTGTTGAATCTGACGTGACATGTTCGTACGAACCCTTTGTACGAACAAAAGTAAGAGAAATTTAGGATAAGAATGCGAACATGTTCTTGCATGAGGCCCATTGTGTACAGACTGTCCCTCCTCTACCTCCTAGTAGGTTGGAAGGCACTTATCAATCATTTGTTTGCCTGATAATATGCATTCAGGTACAGTGGGTTTGGCTCTTCCCCCAGGAAGCGGAGCTCAAGCGACGAGCCTGGCTCGCTTTGATCGGGAAAAGCATTCGATCTGCAGGATGGAGATCCAGGCTTTAGTCAATGGTTGCCCCAGACATTGCTCACAGTTGCTAACGAATGGACAGTGGAGTTTTCCGGGTCTGCTCAGGCATGTTTCAAACTTGACTTATTATTTTTTAATTGAAACTACTTTTTTTATTTGATTGAATAATAAAAAAAAACTAAATTACCTTCATATGGACACAGAGGCCATGGAGTGCTGGATGAATCCTACATACAGCGGGTAAAATAAGTATTGAACACGTCAACATTTTTCTCAGTAAATATATTACTAGAGGTGCTAATG